AAGGGATTATCGGGGGAGGCGGGGAGGTCAGAGCAAAGCGTCGACAAAGCAGTGAGAGGATGGCTGAGGAGAGATGCAAGTTTGAGACCACGCAGGCGCGTTGTGACCTGGATGAAACTGGCCGACTCAGCCCAACTGAGGGCTGACGGCACTCAATTTCCCCCTCTTCTCCGCAGTTACGGCCTGAGGAATCTTTCATTTGCTGGAGCTATCCTCAGAATATTTGTAGCACACATGTCGTAGTCATTGCTCGTATGCATAATTTATTCAGTACATGTGGTTGGAGAAGACAAGGACTGAACTCTATTTTGCGAACGTACACAAAGCAGAAAACAGCTGCGAGAATAGACTAGACAGCTATTTCGTACAGGAAAGGACGTAGGACGACGCTTGCAGACGTGAAGCAAGACAACGGCCATCAACGAATCCTGAGATGCTCAGAAATATAGAGTACAGCACCGATTTTCGTCGTTGAGATACTCGCTTCGGCGCTATCGAGGCGGCCACGGTGAGCAGCGATGAGCAGTGCTCAGTCTTCTTGTTGAGCAAACGCAACTTGATCAAAGCAAATACGACCGTCTGAAATAACAGAGCTGAGTTAAGAACAGAGCTGAAAGTGAGATGTACGCACCTAGCAGCCCTCATCTCCTGTTGCACCCAGAGTCGCAGAACGCCTCTTGACCGTCACCCCTGCATCACCCTGAGTTCCAGCGTATTGTAGTTGCAGCGAACTTGCCAGGTATAATCCGATAACGCCTTCGATGAATCGGCGAGTAGACGTTGAGGACAGCGTGGGCTTGGTGGACCAGGGCACAGAATGAGTGAAGGGCGGAGAGTACGAGGACATGGCGCCACTTTGTTTGGGAGAGTGCCTTCTTCCCTGGGCGTCTCCTCTCTTCACGAAGACGACCACCTCCACGCCCGTCGTCAATTCGAAGTCGTCCGTACATGCACTCTCTTCGTCATGTCCATCATCCATGGCCGCACCTCTTGAACTAGAACGCCATGATTAGCTCACCAATTACAAAGGGTTCGACAACATACCTTCACCTCGTCGAGATGGCGTACTTGCCGCCACCAACATCGACCTAGGCCAGCAATTCCAATATTTCCAGCTTGCGCTGTATCCGTGCGGGTGACAACGGTGAGATGCGATGTAATCTTGAGAGGTACGTCAGAACTTCAATCCGTCGGTGCGTATGCAGACTGAACATACTTCCCAGGCCGAGGCTTGGAGGACCGTGTTCCCTGTGTCCTCAACCTCAAGCTACGACACTGGACCCATCGGATGGCTATTGCGGCGATGGATGGGCGTTGGCGGCTCGGTGGAGGAAGATTTTGGGATACCAAGTGCGCGAAACGTGAGTCCACCGCTCTAGATCGCCACACTCGCCACCGTTGACTCAGGCGTGATCTAGCGGTGGTTGTGACTATCTGCAGGCACCCATGTACGTTAAGAGTCGATATGCAGAGAGTCATTCGACTCTTACCATGTACTCTCCCTCCTTCGCCCCTCTGCTCTGTAGTCGTCAACAACGGCTAGTCGTTGCGGTATCTAGCCGGCCTCCATGTAAAGTGGGCTCGCGACGTGCGCACCGCTCCCTCAAGCCTGACCGATCCCCAGGACGTGGCAGCGAGGGAGCTTCGTGCGAGGTCTGCCGTTCTGGGCTGGAGGATGACAACAATTTTGGTGAGCACCGTGGTTCACAACCGATAAAGAACATCACTCACTCTCTGCGTGTAGACAGCGTATCGATGTGGGCAACTGCTCTCGTATTTATGTATTATGGCCCGCATATTTGGCCTCATGGTCTTTCATTGAGGCGCAGACATGAGGACAGTGGCCGCCGTACGTCGGCGCCACAGTTGACCATGCGAGGGCACATGTCTACGAGACGCTTCAGGTCAGCGACAGTTACCATGGAAAACCATGAAGTACTCATCGGCATTTCCAGCTGCTCACACAATTGCTGTCAAAATCAAGAGCGCGGGCTTCATTTCGCCTCCCTGGTGAACCGCCGCATGCACGTTGCGGTGGCAAGATGCTCAGCGACCGTAATGGACACAGCGGTTTACAGCGAGCTGGAGCTGCAAACGTAACGTTAGTAACGGTCCTCGTTTGTAGGAAGCTGATGGATGCTTACTTGGACTGTTTATCAGGTGGAGGCGGATTCTACAATCCATATTTGGGCCTTTGACATTGGAGATTATCCTATGTTCCGACTGAGGAGCGTCGAATCGCCTTCGGCCATTGGATGAGGAGTATGGTGAACACGGTAGCCGAGGCAAATTCGCTTGAAGATCTTGTGAAAGCTAGATGTTACGGTCTGGTGGCCTCAAGGGTTGAGGGAGAAGGCTGTCGAGCCGAAGGGGAGGACGAAGAACGGAGATTTGGAGTGTTTCGTAAACTGTGTGTTGCGCTGAAGGTGGCGTACAGCAAGGCCACCATTCTGGTGACAATTGGCAGGTCGACCAAAGCGCATCCTGGTCCTGTGCTCTCGGAAGGCGCTCAGCTATTCGTGCCACTCGCGGCGAAGGCAGAAGACAATGGATCCAGTCGACGACGAAGTGACGCGTGGTGCTACCTTCCAGAAAGAGGGTGGAAGACAGAAGCGGTGTCGCACGACGCGTCGTGGGTCGCGGTTCAGCTTGCTCGGGCGCTCCTTTCCGCGTCGCTCCTCTCCTGCGATCCATTCCTCAGCCTTCGCACCAGCTGTCTCGGATCTCACTCACTCGACGACAGTCATGTCATCCGCCGCGGACAATTTTGACTGGAGGTGCGTTCTTGTTCAATCTGAGACATTCCCCTCCGAGACCTGATCAGACTTCACTCGATCCGTTATTGTCACCTCCTCACAGCTCGTACAGTGGCCAATTTTACGATCCGCGTCAAGCCCAACAGCCACCTGAAGGAGATCTCGCCGTTCAATCATATTCCGCAGTGCCAGGAGAGAGTCTTCAACTCGTTCACCCCACCCTGCTCTCTCGTGATGGCCGAGGCGATTTCGGACTTCCCTCCCAACATTCCGACTTCCACTATCCTACGCCGCCACTCTCCTCGTACTCCCCGGGTGGATCTGACTTATCTTCCTTCCACCCGTCTCCTGCTCTGGACGACCGAGGCGCATTTGCACCTCCAGGAGACGACTGTTATTCGACTCCTTTGAGCTTTGCGCTCGGAGGGCAGGCGGCTTCCTACCCAATTCAACAAGTTCAAGTCCCTCCAGCTCCCTCATACAGCGCTCAACATAACCATCTCCCTGTCCCAAACCATGCCTTGCTAAACCACCGATATCCCTCACCCAGCCTCACCCAGACTGACCCTCGCTCTTGCCGCGACCTGCGCGACGGTCGTCACCAGTACGATCGTCTTGGCGAAGCAGTCGAGGCGGCCCACCCCTTCCAGCGCGTCGACCCCGTTCCTTCTTTTCCCAGCACAAGCCTGCAGTGGCAGCAAGATGTTCCCCGTCAGAGACCGCTTCCGCCTCCGCAGCCCGTGTTCTCTGCGCCGATCAACGTGGACTCGAGGATGATCCAGCCATCATTCGAGCGGAATGTTTCGGCTGGATGGGCCCCCCATATCCGTTTGGACGATGGGCTTGGGCATGGTGGATCGGCAGCTTTCTTAACCGGCCCGTTCGACAATCTCACCAATCCGTTGCTCACTCCCAGCGGGTCGCTCGGCGTACTTGCTGGCAATCATCATCCAACCCAGAACACGGCCCATCATCTCGCGCCAACTGCTGCTCCTCAGTCGCACCAGCGGTTCACAGCTCAGTCCCCTGGCGCGGTGGCACGGTCTTCTGGAGCGGGAGTGCACCGACACCAACCCTCTCGTAGAGTCGCACAGACGGGACCCCAGAGATCTGTGCAGGACCGCCGTTACGCTCGTTCCCGTGCGATTGTTGCGGGGCAGTCGACCAGCGCAGACGTGCCAGGTCTCTTCAATGCTGCCCCACGACCAGCGGGTCAAAAATCTCAATTAAAAGCAGTAGTGCTTCCTATCGATCCGCTGCATGCAACACCTTCGTGGGCCGCTGGATTCTCCAATCTCCCATACCCACATGACGACCACTTCCCTGATGTCGGTGATGATACGGCTCTCACCAGATGGTGCAGCTTGTGCGAGAAGTACGTCAGGCTCTGTGACGGGGACGCTCATGTCAGAGGCCATTTTCCACTTGATTCCGGCGAAGCGATCTGTCCTCGCCAATGCAAGAATCGCCGACTTTACAAACATCTGGAACACCATTGGCTCACGGCTCATTTCAGAAAAGGAGACTAGATGATTCAGCAAGACCCAGCGGCACGCGTCTCCGGAGGCACGGCGGAAAACAGGGGAATTTGCTGCCTTGTTCTTTGTCTTCGCTATGTTATGCTTTGTCCTACGCGTCGTCTTGACCCTTAGCACAGGTTTCATGCTTTCTTTTTGTGGGTTTATGTACTGTGTTTGTTGTCAATATAAAAGGCTCTCTTTGTGACCGCGCCGTACGCTTAGTGACTACTGTGGCGGCTGAGTGCAGAAAGGCGCATGGTATCTTCGTGCACCAAACCCGTAGACATAAGCGCGCAAGTGATCGGGACCCACAAGCACCGTCAAGAAGCTGCGCCACCTAGTCCGATCGTCTGGCCTCAACACTCCCAGCCGACCAAAACATTCGCGTGAGGCGGGCCTTATGTACCTACTTCACCAGATTATTTCTATCATCACCATTAGCATTAGCAGGTCGTCGCATTGCTGGTAGTAGGTACGTACTACTTCAAAAATTGAAATACGTTACGAGAGCATATAAAGATACACTGTGACAGTTGCTTCGTTGTGCCGAATTTCGACCCTGGCATGCGCATCATGCAATCCTGTTTCTCTCGGAATTTAACACTCGCCATTGGGTTCAAAACCAAGTATCCACTGAGGTTCCGTCTGGGGAGTCGGGACTTCGGGACGCTGGCGCTACTTACTAATACTGATTACTTACCCCCAGCAAAACGTTGTAAAACGTTGACCTCTACCCGGATTGAACGGATGACCTTGTGGAATTTCTGCTTACGTAAGCGACTGGAATCACACGCTCTACCACTGAGCTAAGAAGTCGAGATAATGAAGGAGGCTTGGAAAAGTGTTTGAAGTTGTGAAACGGAGTGTGCAAAGCGCGAGCGGTACGATCGTACTTTGGATGGAGGGTGAAAATCCTCAAACAACATGGCGTGTCTCAAGCTGCAGCAAATAACTTGCAGCGTTGTCTCGTTGTCCTTATAAATCAACTTACTTGTTCACAATTGCAAAACAAGGCACACACGAGCAGCAGGATGACATGGCAGGCTGATCTTCGCCCACTGCAGGATTTGAGGCTCGAAAATTCGTATAGCTTAAGCGCTCGTATCTTGACGTCTTTCGAAGACTGCGATGTAGTTTGTACGCCGCGTAGGGATTTTCATTGCCTATTAGTACAAAGCGTGCGCGAGTTTACATAGCTCTGTCGGTAGAAGTCGAAACTTCAATGCGAGGGTGAATAGATACTGGATTTCCTGCGATCAGCGGTGCCGTAAATGTGGAAATGAACCGAGTGTCTATCAAGGATGGCCATGGGCTTTGCCACAGTTTGCCACTGGCAGCTGCCTCCCCCCATCCATCCTATTTTTTTAAAGCACAATACTCCAAAATCACGTCTCTCGAATCACTTTGCCATCGGACCCCCTCGGAAAACGCTATGAGATATCCACGCTCGCACATCCCTGCCACTGGCAACCAAGCACGCTGATGACGAAGCGTCAGCAGCACACGCGGTGGAACTTAATGCGAGCCTTCGTCCATCGCAGGCACTTGCAGACTCGGAAAAAGACGTTTAATGGAGTTGCTGGGAAAGAGAGGGAGAGGACGGTGGATCTATTGGTATCAAGTAAGTTCGCAGCCTGAAACCGACCAATGCCTAAGTTGACGACCAGGGGCTACAGACCATGCGTTGTCTTGTATGTCCTTCTTTTCGAGATGATTTGCAGGAGTACCATCACAAACGCTGCTGCAACTTCTCCCTCATTGCATGAGTGGTACGGTGCTTGCACTGTAGTGTATGCGGCGCCCTTCATGATATCGACGTCTTCAGCACGCTGCACGCGACTCAAGTCCGCAAAACCCTGGATCGTTCTACTTGGACAACACTACGAGTTTTGTGATAACATGACTTCGTTGAACGTCGATCAGTGGACTCCATACAGACGGAACCTGTGAGACGAGATGAAATTGAGAGCACCATGCTCGCGGTTGAGCCCAGACTGCGATTACGTACCAAAAAGAAGTCGAGGAAGATGTTAAATTGCTTGGTGAGTCCACTCTCAACTGTTATTGCATGACATCCTCAGCGGGTAGTACCTTGCAGGGCGGAACTTCGTTGCTATGACGACATGACGAAACAAGACCTATTAACCCTCTATCATATGTGGGGCGTTCTTGGTGGTCGGTGCAGTTTCCGGCAATGTGGACTATGAGGGTCCTATCCACGGCTGGAAAGCTAACGGGTACAGGTCCCGGTCGCTCCTGCTGATTGTCTCTTCTGAGATAATGCCCTATCACCGCAAGGGACAGCGATTCCCTGAATTGGGCCGAGCTACCGCTGCGAAATGCTGGTGGAATGCCGGTATGTGAGTCGCTCTGATTTTAGATGAGGATTCGCCGTCGAACTGACCCATGAATAGGCACCATTTTCGTTGTATGGAATAGAGACGCGGGCGGCGAACAAGCGGGAACCTCTTACAGTTGAACGGGAGAATGCAGGAATGTTATCAGTGCGATCTGGGTCTTAGACGTATTACGTCGCCCCTCAACAATGTCTCCAGTCTTCCTGAGAACCGTGTTTTCGTGGCGATCTTTTTGTATTCCAATGTAGTAGATTCATGTCTTGGCACATCGTCCGAGGCGTGCTAGACGTCCTGAGGATCCACTTCTTCGTCAGTCGTAAGTTGGCCTTTATTAGAAATATGTGCTGTATGACCCACTAATCACAATGACTGTTAGGTATCGGATACCTAGGAGCAGTCAGTCTGGAGCAGATTGAGGGCCACCCGTCCCGCGCGTTGATGTCGCAACGAGGGCTGTGAACAGGTGCAGAGCTTCCATCAGGTAGGGACCTTAAGGCGCAAGACTACTTCGCCAAAACCTGACAGTTTAACGACGGCCGTTGGGTGCTGCCAAAGCCAAGTTTAAGATAGGCGATTGGCCGTAGAGCGGCCGGGTCCACTTACGGCGTGCAAGTGGACCGAGCCACTCGTGCCAAGGTGCGTCATTCGGCCGCATTGCAACATCGCATCTGACGAAAGCTACGCGCGTCCTAGATACCTCATGCTTAGCGCGTCCCAGCGATGAAGAGAACAGAACAGTGCTTCACCTTTGCGCTACAAGACATCTGTTTTAGTCGCGCTTTCGGTGGTGTCAGTGCTATTGTCTATGTGGGGTGATAAGGTCTCCTGCGGCGCATGGACCACCGTAGAAACCTCCCACGTCTTCTTCGCTTTTCCTTCATCTATGATATTCTGGAGGACTCAGCTATGGCTTTTGTCGACGTGCGATGCATTCCACGACGGAGTCGCCCATCAAGATGTCCTTTGCAAGAGACTCAGTACCGGAATGCATGCTATTACCAACGCCACAGCTCTGATGAAGTGCTCTTGGAGACACCTGGTTTGACTCCTCGTCGTGATTTTCCCCGCGCGTTTGGATTGACACCAAGCCGTACATACTTGCGCAGTGGGATGGGTATATTCACAAAGGTCAGTTTATTTATCAGGTGTCATCAACGGAGTTGGTTCACTGACCTCGTAACAGATACTCGCTGTGAATTTTATACATCGCTGTGGATCTTGTACATGGCTTCCCATGCACCATGGTCGTTGAACGAAGACGACGACGAGCTCCCAATCAGCAGGCGTCTCTGCTTTGCAACACTGATAATCCGACAACGCGCTTTCATGGGTAGGCGCTCGCTGCTCAGGTCACTGTGGCACGGACACCCGCCTCGACCGCAATCACCTTCCAGCATTTCTCTTGCGCTCTCGCACACTCCCTCGTGAGCACTCTCCAGACGCATCGCTCTCTGTCGACGACTTTGCATCCACTGCCATTCCCAATTGCGTCTCAATGGCCGCAGCTGTTATGAGGTACGTCCAACGGTCGGCCCTAGACACATTGAAACCCAAGCTCACGTCAAATCGCGCTCGTAGTTGCGTTGGAAAAAGATTGCGTGAAGAAGACGATCTGCACGACGACTCGCCCAACCTCCTCAACGATTCTACAAACGTGGATTCCGACAGCGACGAAGAAATCTATGAAGACGAGGAGCCGATATCCACTTCGGCCGATATTCCTTCCTACGTCCTCTATGAAGCTCGGCCGTTCCTGCCACTAGCGGAAGAGGAAGGCGAAGAAGAGTCCGGAGAAGAGGAAGAAGAAGAAGAAGAGGAGGGCACACAGCAGGATTCTGATTGGGATGGAAGCGACGAAGTTGTGATTGCTGAGGAGGATGCCAGCGAAGATGAAGTCGCGGTAGATGGCGATGACGCGGTAGACTTCTTCGGTTACGGCGACGACGAGGAATTCGAACACGAATCCGATCTGTCTCTATCCTACAGCCCTCTCGAAGCAGACCTTGTTACGGACATTCCTGCCGAGCGCTCTTACTACTTGGCAGACCACAACCCTCTCTCCCCCACTGCCTCCGCCGACATTTCGCTCTCCGTGCGCGACACTGCACAATCTACCCACCCATCCCCCCTCAACCACAATAGCCCCACTGACATCGAGTCTCCGATGCCATACTCTGTACCACCGCGTCGATCTACGCGTCGCTCTACTCGTCGCTCTACGCGGGAAGAAGCGCAGTATCCCACAGAGGCACGGGAGGACGAGCCCTCGACGAGTAGCTCGAGGGGAAAGAGGAAGGGCAAGGGCAAATCCAACGGCAACGCCAATGCCAAAGCTCTCAAAGCGGAGGAAAGCTCGAATGTCCTGACTTCCGTCCACACTACTGCGAACACTGTCGACAAGGAGGAAATCTTGCGACTGGCGGTGACCAAACATATCCCGGTTCTCGTACCCTACCTTGCCTCCATTACTCCTCCTGTCGACCGTCACATCAACACCGATGCAAACGTGAATCTCAATCTCGAGACGCGAAAGCGAAACAAGCGGAGTCCGGGGAGTTCAGACGCATACATACACCCTGTCGCTGGGGTGTGCTGCATCAACGGGCAACTTGACGAAGAAAAGCGGCTTATGAATCGCGGATGTGGCGCGACGGGCCTCGAGAACGAAACACTAGCTCTGATCCACCTAATGCTGGATCACAGCGACTTTGTTGGCAAGGAGAAGGTCATACGAACTTGTCCATGGCCAGGCTGTGGACACCTAATGAAGACGAAATGCGAAAAACA